CGGCCGCGGCGGGGACAGCGGCGACCGGGGCAGGACTGCAGCACAGCCAGGACTCCAGCCTCAACCAGGTGCCTCCCAACAAGAAACCACGCATAGGGCCTTCAGGCACTAACTCAGGCGGGCCTGTCATGCCTTCAGATTATCAGGTACCTCTTGATATTTTGCTGCTTTTGATGCTGTAAGGCCAAAATGTTGTTTTCCCCCTTCCCCGCTGCAAGAACAGGTTGTGTTTTAATGAGTTTTTCATGTAACCTGAGCAGGCATGCTGTGATATGTTAGATTAAAACGTGGGGTTTAAGTCAAAAGGTTTTGTTCTGTGTTCAGTAATTTTCGATAGAATGCCAGTTTGAGTTGTATCTGCTGCACCCTGTAAAATGTTGAGGACTAGTGCACTCTAGGAAAGCATAAAAAATATTTGCTTAACTTCGAGAGTAATCTTACTGAAGCCAGTGGATGTAAATGCTGTGTTGTATCAAGTTCAGGATACTCGAGTCTTGGCAATATTCAATCCTGCACGAGACGCAGATCTAAGAAGATCCTGAGAAGCAGAAGCAAAGTTAGAACTAGGCTCTCTCATTTGATTCCTGCTTCATTTTACCTCATATTATCACATGTATGAAGTGGTTTTGTAGTTTATGCTAATACATGTCTACTTCAAATGTTAAAGAGAAAAATGTATGTTAGCACAGGAATGATGTTTTGGTTCACTTGTGTGATTCATGCCAAAGTAGGGAGCAAAGACATGCATCTGTTTTTCTCTTGCTAATGTGGCCAGAGTTGGATAGATTTCATGTTTTCCAGTACAGTAACATAAGTAAAAGCAGTATCACTGAATTATTCTTGGATTTCCATACTTGTCTTTGCTTACTGGCATTATATTTTCCACTGAAAAAGTGACTTGCACTAAATACAGAAAGCATTGAACTTACCAGGATCTTCAGTACTTCTGAGTTTATACTTGCTGGAACAGTAAGGAGTTGAAAGCAGAGTAAGAAAAAGGTAGATGTTAAAGGTAGATTTAAAATGATGCTAGGGATTCTGTCTGCTAGCCAGCACACTAGCCTTTGAGAGCTAAACCAGCACACTAGCCTTTGAGAGAATCCCACCTTGGAGAATGGCCTTTTCAGGCTGCTTTAAACTTAAAATAAGTAGCTTTTACAACACCCAGCTCTGGAGTTGCCTTGACTTAACCCTCCAGACCTTCTCCACAGACAATTGATTTCTCAGTGCCAGGCATTTTTCTCCCATTTTTCTTTGACTCTCTTAATTACAAATGATGGTGAAGGCATTGAGGGCAATTTAAGGGTCAAGAAAACTAGGTTACTTTGTTGAAAAGTTCCAGACAGGCTTGAGGCCTAGACAGATCACTACATCTGTCTGACTACACATAATTTATGGCTGGTCTGTTTTGGTCTGTACTTTGAGGACTGGTGTGCTGCATTTGATGATATCCATTATAGAATTCTTATCCAGGTCTCTGAAGTTTTGGCAAATATTCCCCTTACAAGTTGCTAGCAGTCTAAATATGTTTGGTTTTTTTCAGATAGTTTTTTTTTTTTTTTCCCCTCTCTGATGCTTTTCTTCTAAACTTCAACAGCACATGCACCAAAATCATGATCTATGTGTTTCCTTTACATCACTCACTAGGTTGTACGGTCTGATTATCCATTTTTACACTTGTGTTTGGCTATCTGCCCTTACATTCTAGCTGGCTGTCTTCTGTTTGTCGTGGTTTAACCCCAGCAGCAGCCAAGAACCACACAGCCTCTCACTCACTCCCCCACCAACGGGATGGCGGAGAGAATTAAAAGGGTAAAAGCTACAAAAACTCATGGGTTGAGATAAAGACAGTTTAATAGAGAAAGCAAAAGCTGCACACACAAGCATAGCGAACCAATGAATTAATTCACTGCTTCCTGAAGACAGGAGGTGTTTAGCCATCTCCAGGAGAGCAGGGCCCATCACGCGTAACGGTTCCTTGGGAAGACAAACACCATCACTCCAGATGTCCCCCCTTCCTCCTTCTTCCTCCCACCTTATATACTGAGCATGATGTCATATGGTATGGAATATCCCTTTGGTCAGTCTGAGTCACCTGTCCCAGCTGTGTCTCCTCCCAATCTCCCATGCACCCCCAACTTCCTTGCCAGCGTGGCAGTATGGAAAGCAGTAAAGGCCTTGACTCTGTGTAAACTCTGCTCAGCAATAACAAAAACATCTCTGCATTATCAACTCTGTGTTCTGCACAAAACCCAAACATAGCCTCATACTAGCCTCTGTGAAGAAAGTTAACTCTACTTCAGCTCAAACCAGCACATGTTCCAGAAAGGAATGTCTGCAATTTGTCCAAGTCTGACTGTGTTAAATTCTCTTCTGTGGAACACAAATAAGCATGGGCAAGCGAATGCTTTCTTGTAGTCTTATGGCCTTAATTTTACTCCATTATATCTTATTCAGAAGTAGGAAGAAGATTCCCTTTGCTTTGAGTTTCATTTAGCTTGTGATCTAAAGTCTCTGTTGAAGTCTTTTTGTAGTTCACCAACCTCAATATATGTTGCTTCCACAAATGACAGTGCAGATTCCTTGTTGAATCTTCCTGAGCATTTCTTGTGACCTTGGGTGTTCTGCTCAGTATGGTGAGCTGATGCTTTTCATCCAGAATAAGCTCCTGTAAAATCATAGCATTTATCACAATTCTTTCTCTTTTCTGTTAGAACTTGAAAAAAACTCCCAGAATTTTGAGATTAATTTCAGGTTTCAGACACTCTCTTAACAATCTAATGATGCGAGCCAAGCCTCATCTGGTTATTAGCAGCATGTGTGCCACTGGGAGACATCTCTTCCAAAGCCAGTGTGCTGAGCTGTCATCTCCAAAATTGTCTCTTAAAACAAGTGAAATTGCTCTATACATCTATTAGTTATATTGATATTGTATTGAGATATACAGGTCTGCAAGATTGGACCTCCCTCACTGTGCTTCACCGTGGGAAGCAGCCATCATATTCCTGTGTTGGACAGAACACAGAAAAAGTTATGTGATGTTTTTAGGACTTAGTATGTTTTACAATTTGTGTCAAATTAAAATTATAAAGCTATGCACAGAAACAAAGGGCAGAAGTGGTTTACACTGCCTGAACTTCAGGTTCCTGCTCTTCCATCATCCAGTTGAAAAGTTGTCAGCAGGCTTTCACAGCTCTCCTGCTTCGGGTCCAATGTTTAGATGAGACCACTAAGTTATTGCCTTCACTGAGCAGATTCTTGGTCTGTGGAGGATGTGGTGTTTTTGCAGACCCAGTGTTTCCATGGGATTTCCATTCAGAACTCAAACTTCTCCAGAGGCTTTCTGGAACTCATAGTGCTGATACTTAATCAGACTGTAGGTTCTTAACACCTTTCCTAGGTGATTGCTGTTGGCCAGAGGTTTGTTGATGACCCTTGGACATAGCCAAACAGAACCACCAACTAGACAGTGAACAGAACTCTTATTGAATGACTGCCTGGCCCTGCAGTTCACTTGACTGGAAACAAAATGGTTTGCTAACTGCAAATAGTTTGGGGCTGGTTATTCTGTAGACTCTCCTTCAAAGTGGATTGGGATGGGGTTTACCTTCCTGGAGAGTCTCCTATCCATTGAGTAGTTCTTCTTGTGCCAAGTGATTTTGCAGCTTACATTATTGGGCAGCTCATCATTAATTCTGGACAGGGAATGGATGGGCAAATTCAGCAGGTTGGAGGTCACAAGTGATCCGTGAATTTGTCTTGCTGATGTTGCAGTCCACTGTGTCCCAAACTCTGGAGGGGGAAAGAAAAACATCCAGGAAAATGAATATTAGGTTATTGCACATACACATGCCCATCTTTAAATACTTGTCCTTGTTTCTAGCAGATAAGGCTGCGGGTTGAAAGACTCACCTAAAATTATATTATTTTATCTTACTGGACAATTTTTCATTAAACTGAGTAACTCTTAGGTCACTGTTATCTTTTTCTCAGAAAAGAGTAAAATGTTTCTCTATAATATTTGCTATTACAGATCTTGAGTGTTTGTGGCCTCAGCAGTTTGATTTTAGGTCAATAGCATTTACAATAACGATAGATTTAAGTTTAAGAAATGGATAAATTTTAAAAGGCAGTCTGCTCTCTCTTGTGTCTTGTGTATTTTTCCTTCAGAAAATGACTGCATACATGTTGTATTTCTAGGTGTCTGCTACTGACCTTGTGTATTTTGTGTGCTGTGTTAAGGCTGATTGCAGATCTGAAAGATTACTTGTTTTATAGGACCTTCAATTGTAGCACTGTTTAGTCAGTTTCTCCAACAGTCTTGTTCTAATGAGCTTCAGAGAGGTTAAGTTTCCTGAGCTGCATAGTCCTTACAGGCTGATTTTCATTCCCCTGATCCCTCCTCTCTTTTTTTTTCCTGCAGCACTCCAGCTCACGCCTGAGTTACCAAAGCAACATTCAGGGATCTTCTCAGTCCCAGAGTACAATGGGCTACTCCACATCGTCTCAGCAGAGCTCTCAGTACCACCAATCTCATCAGTCTCACAGGTACTGAGAGGCCTGACAGGCTGCACTCAGAAAGGAATGGACTAAAAGCCAGAAGACTCCAGCAATATGAAGTTCATAATGATGAGAAGACCAAAAATACAAACTATAATGCAGAATTAAAATTCATGCTGACAAAAGGAAAACTTCACTCACTGAAGACTTCCCCTGGCTCCATCCCCGTCCCTGTATTGCCATAAAGGAGATTCTCGTGAAGTTTTCCTTCCTTCCTGCCCCTGCATGTGCTCCATTGTGGTTACTCTAATGAACCCTTCTGATCTGAACCCAGCACTTAACTTCTTTAACCTTTGGAATTTTGAAGGATTCCTGGTGCACCTTCCTTATGCTGTAGTGATTGCCATAAATCTGTCTTTTCAATCTCTTTGATGGGATTTTAAAGTTTTAAAATCTTGAACTCCCAGGCTTTCAAGCTTGTATATAGTTAGTTTTATACTAGGCAAACCAGTTTAGCTATACAGGTATATTGCACCTTTTTAAAGCACTATGTTATTTTCACAGGATATTACTGTTTTGCTCATGGATGTCAAGAACAGCAAAAATTTTACTGTTCCAGAGTATTTTACTATTCTGTTTTTATTAGTCTAGTTTTCAGGCGAAGTATTAAAAATAAAAAATTTTAAAAATGAATAAAATTTAAAAAGAAAAAGGAAAAAAAAAAAGAAGAAAAAACCCACCCAAGTCTCTGCAGCAACAAATATGCTTCATGCTACTGGACTGAAGGCCAAACAGAAGATTGCTGATATTTCTTAACTCATTCACATTGAATTCTTGAAAACACAGTGATCATGCTCTGGCTAGTTTTAAATTAAGCATCATTTTAAATGAAACCAGGACAGTCGCATAAAAAGGAGATGCTTTCTGTTGGAATAGAAGAATGGAATGTCTTCCCAGGCTGGACACCAAAATAGTCAGGAAAATGTATTTACTGCCCTCAAGTCTGAGTAGGAATGTGGATGATGGGCTCGTTTTTCTGTTAAGCAGCTGATTAGTGTATGTGAGAGTTCTGCACATTCAGCTTTTTTTCACATTCCTGAGTCGGTTCTCAAAGTGTAAAGGTGACAGAAATACTAAGACTTGCAAAAAACGAATGCATTTAATCATTTTGTGTTAGAATTAATAATTAAGGGAAATTATCGTGCAGTTCGAAAAGCATGTTGAAAATTGTTCCTTTTTCATGTCTATAATGCATATTCTGTGTCCCTCACATTGCTGTGATTAACCCAGATTAGTTACACCAGATGCGCTTGATTGCACTGAAATGTTTCTTTTTCCCTAGAGCAAACATGTTTTGATTGTGCCTAAGGACTGTAAGTGGATGGGTAGCTGGCAGAAAATCCCCAGTAATTAAGCAAGAGTTCAGAAGCATAATCAGAGGATTATTGTCCAACTTCTGGAACCACAGTTATTCGGAGAGACACAACATGCAATTCGGGACAGCTTCATTTTTCCTTCAGCCTTTGGAAACGAGGCTGGTTCTTGTTGCAGAAAACCTGGAAAAATGCATTAAAAAAGCTACTGGCAATGTAACCAGTGAGCTTCTACAGCTGGTGGCCAGAGAAGGGGTGAAGTGAGAGGAGTTTATATGTAAATGGTTAATTTTACAGGTTTTTATACTGCAGTGTGTTCTCTTCTGTGTCCACACACAAAAAAAACTCTATACCCATCCACATTCACACACTGCAGTTGTGATCAGGTGTAGCAAGATGAGTAAATCTGTTTGCTCTGAGGAGAATGCTTGTCATGACAGCTAGTCACATGCATGTGTCTACTGGATTTGATCTCCCAACCACCTCTAGTGCCCCTTTCCTCCCCACACTCGTGTTGTTTTCATACCTTTTGTGAGCAGTTGGCTTGCTTTGGCCATACCTACCACCATGTGAAGTTGACAGCAGCTAACTGCTCTGGAAAAGCAACTAAAACCTGCTTTTGTCATCAAATGGATAAGAAGGTGGTGAAAATGAACTGAAGCAATGGGTAGGAAAAAATTCTTTCTGGGGAAAAATTATCTTCCCAAAGGATATTTTCAACATATAACCCTTGAAATGCTACATTTTAGACCTACCCTGGTAGCCTGTTTGAAAGAACAGATTTTGATTGTTCCTTTATTTCAGTGAGGCTGGGGTTACATTCTGTCTGTAAGTGGAAGGTCTCACCTCTTACTGCTGTTAGGATGAGGTACCTTTGAGCTAATGGATATTTGACCAATGCCATACAGTAACACTTATTTTGTATTTTTGTGACTTGAATGTCATTTCTGGAAATCATCCTTGGGCAGAGTAATTTTGTGCCCCCTCCTGTTCTCTTCATCCTTCTGTTCTCTCAAAATTATTTTGTCCTTTCTACTATACTTACAATTTTTTCTGCCTACTGTGACCTGCCACTGATCATCAAAATTCATACAAAATCAGGAGGTGGTGGGGAACTGTATGGTGACTTAAGGTGAGCTCTTGTGCCAATAAGGCAAAATCATGGTGTAGATTAATCTGTATGTAGAGTATGAAACTTCACAGCAATGTAAGGTGCTTTAATTGAGTGAGCTTCCAGCTTCTAGAGTGACTGCCATGACCTCTCTCTCAGCTGCACTGGTGTTTCTGCCTCAGTTAGGTCTGATAGATGACCACCTGCCTCTCCTCTCTGGCTTCTGTGTGCAGATGTGAAGCCAAGCTCACTTGCTCTGTTCCTTCAAACTCACAACTGGAAGGACAGCAAAAGTGTTGGCTGCAAAATGTAGGCTCTGCACACTCTTGTAGTTCCTTCCTGGTGGTGAAATAACTTGCCTTTTCCTGGGAGCCTGGTGCATGCTGCCAGGGTGGGTGACAGTCCCAGGTGGAAGAGGCCTTGTGCTCTAGGGGTCATCCCATGAGGTAGAAACACTCTGCTTTCAGAATGGATTATGCAGTTTGTAGTGGGAAATCAGGACCATGTCATGTTTATGTTATATTTTTGCCTGTGCAGTTTCATCATTACCCATAGCTCTGTCTCTGCTCATAGCCTGTAGATCTTCACCAAAGTGTTTCACACATACCAAGAGAGGCAGGTGGTGCTGGCAGAGCTGTCTCCTCCATCCTGCTGGGAGAGCAGGCTGCCAGGACAGCTCTTCCCGTTGCGGCTCAGAGGAAACAAACACGTGGGGAATGGATGGGATGAGCAGCCCTGGCCCTCATTGGTGAAGTTTAGGTAGCACAAACTGCACAATGAAGGAAAAATATAGGGAAAGCTGAGAGTCCTGCACTGTATCTGTGACACTGTATCTGGGGAGGGGGAGGGAAGAGCATTCGTAGCGGGAGGGGTGCTGGGAAGCTAGAAGTGTTCAAATATGTATAATATTTTATATAAACACAATAAGCTTAGTTCCCCTTCATAATCTTCAGGAATGGTACTTTAACACCATTAAGCAAAGAGTTGTTTTAGGGTTAAATAAATGTATTGTACATAAGGCCATAAGTAATCTTCTAAAAACGTCGCCAGACAGGAGCGATGTGTATTACTATATGAAAAAAAAAGTCCTTAATGCACTGTTATCTCCTAAATATTTAGTAGTAAATTAATGCTATTTAATTTTTTTAAAAATTTGTCTTGTGTAGACACTAAAAAGTATTACACAAAATCTGGACAGAATATGTCCTTTTTAACAGCAATTTAAAGAACTTTTTATATATGTAAGGTAGTAACTTTTCAAATTGTTCTAGTTGTATATTCCCATGTTTACTATTTGTGGAAGTGTGCCTGTCTCTATTCAGTTATTTTTTTTTCCTAATTTCATGCAAGCATCTTTCATTTTTGTAGTCCCCGTTAGAAATGATCGTGTATGCCTCATGCTGACACAAGACTTTGCAGCTCTAGATCCGTGGTGGCCACATTTGGCAGTGCCCAGGCCAATGGGCTACCAAAACCACAGAGCAAAATACTTGTTCCTCATCCTAGAATTGGGAGTTTACTGCTTTTAAGTTGTCCTGATGTCACTCTTGAAATGACTGTTAAAACTAAGCTATGAGTTCATTGCATTTATTTTATATTCTTGGTTGTAATGAAATGGAATTGACTTTGCTTCAGTGTGAATTTTTTTAATAAAATAATATACATTTGTAATAATAATAAAAAGTTCAAATCAAAGAAGCGTGCAGAGAAGTTTTTGTAAACATTGGCTTGGGGCTACCGAGAGGGAAAATATAGCCCACAAAATTGCAGTTGTAATTATATTCAGGATGTTTATGATATCATACACCACACAAAACAAAGCTTGCAAAACCTCAGAGCTGAAATTGCAGCTTTTAAAATGCCCGCAAGGATATTCCTGGGTATGTGTCTATCAAAATAGAATGAAGCCTTATGGAAGGCAGAGTCGATGGAGTGGTTGGTTCTCTTAGGCCTTGCTCTGTGCTTTAGAGTGTTCTGGAGTGCCATGCTGGTGCCACTTGCATGACAATTCCCTAGATGTGTCTTCTGAAAAAAAGACTGGTTTACTCCACTCTGAAGATAAATGCTCTTCTACTTTTTTCTCCTGATGGAGCATTTCTAGCATTTCAGGTGACAACATGGAAGGCATGAGCTAGATCATATTGGTGCATTTTCAAAGTGAGGTTTTGTGTGCTTTGCTAGTCTGTGTGTTTCTGTTCCATCTAATAGCTGTTTCATGACTGGATAGTTAACTCTTTCCAAAAATCCCATTTGTCTTGTCCATAACAGTTGCATGGGTAAGAATGGTTAGGATTCACTTGCGCTACCAACTGTGTTAAGAAAGAGGCTTTGGTTTCTGATGTGCCTTTTCCACAAGGGTGAGAAGAGGAGTCACCTTTTGCCAAAAAGCTTAGTCTGCCTCTCTGACACCTCAAGATTAAGAGCTGTTGCTTCAGCCTCGATGCAGCTGAGCATCCCCAGCTCTTTAATCCTCACAGTTTCTGCTTCTGCTGTCCTGTTGGTTGATAAGATTGTGCTTAGTCAGCAGCTTTGATTTGAATCTTGTGTTGGCTCTGTCTCAATCTTTGTTCTTCTACAGCATCTCTCTCTCTCTCTCTCTCTTCTCTCTCTCTCTCTTTTTCCTACCTGGTCATGCAATTTACAGTCTAATCCATCTCATCGTGCTGATCTGAATTAGGGTGTCATCCCTTTCCCATCCTTGACAGCTAAACGACTTAGATTTCACAGCCATTGAGAAAGCTCCAGACTGAGTTGTTTGTTAGTCTCTTGCTTTGACTTGTTTTTTCCTGCTTTGCATTGCTGCCCTGGTTCTGCTGTCTCTGTTGCATTAGTTGTAAAGCTTCTCTCTTCACTTGCACATTGCTGCCAAAGCCTGCTGTTACCCCATCCCTCTTACTCAAATCAAGCACTTATGTAAGTTATCTCCAGGTCTGATTGTCCCACCAGGTCAACCTCTACAGCCTGCACTTTAGATTTCTAAATAAGCATTTTTAGGCTCTGTTTCCAGTTACCTATTGTCCCTGAAGACCTGTTGCATAAATTTCTGGAAAATTCCCTCTTAGGTATGTTCTGCATCCTTCATTAAAACCCTTTGGCTTTGGTGTCTGAGAAGTTACGTGTTTCAAGCTGCTGGTGTGCTGTGAGTCATACCTGTTGTGCTAATGAAATCTGTCCCAGTGTTTTGTTATGCCCTCC